AATTTTTTTGAGGTGATAAAAAGTGCTGCTAATGAATTGTGAAAAATGTGCACATTCATTTAGTCAGTTAATTAGTTATTTATTGTGCGACAAAAATTAAGGAATAGGAAAAAACTATTTGCATGTAGGACAAAAAAAAAAAAAAGAAATAACTAATGAGCAAGCGCTAACAGTAATAAGAGGAACGCAAGGTGACAGTAATAACATAAGACAAAGGGACAAAAATATAACTAATGGAAAATATAAATAATTAGCATACATCAGAAATAATAGCACGTAATTCAGCTTCTTTCATGATTCTTCTTATGTAAATTCAACCGGTCGTAATTCAGGTAGCATTTGCCGCAGACAGTACAGTTGAAGAGTGGCCTATTTTTGTTGTGAGTTTTCATGTGGCTTTTCAAATATGGTTTTCGTTTGAAAACCTGCCCGCATACCTTACAACTGTACGGCATTTTATCGGCATGAATTCTCATATGTTCTTTCATATTGTCTGATCGAGAGAAGCTTTTCCTGCATGTGGGACAACCATAACGCTTCCCATCGGTATGAGTCTTCATATGCCTTTTCATATTGTATGATCCAGAGAAGCTTTCCCCACATGTGGGACAACTGTAAGGCTTCTCACCAGTATGAATCTTCGCATGCCTTTTCATCTCTGATAAACCAGCGAAGCTTTTCCCGCATGTGGGACAACTGTAAGGTTTCTCACCGGTATGAGTCCTCATATGCCTTTTCATATTGTATGATCGAGAGAAACCTTTCCCACATGTGGGACAACTGTAAGGCTTCTTATCAGTGTGAGTCCTCCTGTGCTCTCCCATATTTGCTACTTTCTTTTGACAAGCATTACTCTGCGATTTCCCTCTTTTACTCACATCTTTTGTTCAATACTTTCTTCTTGGTTTGTTGAGTTTAACCCTGTCTGTCGTCCAGTTGCTATTTCGGCTTTCGGCACTTTAGCGGCTACTTCGGCTAATAACCACAAATTTCCCATTTGTTCTCCGTTCACTGATAAATCAAACGGCTCTGTTTGTTCTGTTTTCACCCCCTCAAATTACATGAAATTATCACTCTCACATTATTTTAAAAAAACTTGAAATTTTCGAAATACTGTAATGTTGTCTTGATTTTTAACTTTAAATGAACTTACTGTAGTTTGAATGTTGCCCAGTTGAACGAAGAAGATGATAACAAAATAAATATAATGCATTTTGAAGAGAGTAATTTCCTTGCCTATTCTGAAAACATTCAAATTTACTAATGTAATGGATAGTTATGTATGAGAAATAAGACTGCCTGCTATTTGACATTTTACAACTAAATTATCTTTTTATTAAAAACTACGAACACTGTGAAGATTTCGCTTTGGAATGTAACGGAGAAGTTTCTTTTGGTAAATGTTAACATTGAAAAAAAGAATGGTTTCTATTCATTGTTAGTAGAATATAACTGCATTTCTCATTCAAGCGATAAGCATAAGAAATTATTCATGATGGAGATCGGTCCAAGCGTTCCAAAGCGAAGTCTTCACAATGTTCGTAGTTTTGAATAAAAATATAATTTAGTTTTAAAAAGTGCTCATTTACAGGTTCGTCGAGGAATTCCAAAATCTCTCATAACACGATACTTTGCGAAAAAACTTACATTTTCCATCGAAATAAATGAAATAAAACTTACTGGATAAAATTCGTGGAAAAGAGTTTACACAAACGACCAGCCACTTCTTCTGTTAGATATTACTGCTCAGGTATCGTCTGTATAAATGCTCATCCAAATGGGAGTGGTGAACTATCTGTATTGATAATCTATGTCCACGTGTAATAATGTAATAGTAGTAGTTGCTGTTTTAATCCTCTGAATAATTTCATTCCAATATTGCATTGTGAAAATTAATTTATGCAAAGCCGTTGCAATATTTTTTGTGCAATTTTCTTTTATTTCGCTTCAATTTTTCCAAACTTTCAAAATCAAAGAAATATTAGCAAAAGGGAAAAACTGCACTAATACATTTATCGCATTTTTTTGCAGTGCTTCTATTTTTTTTTGCGCGTATTTACGTATGCCACATGATTTCATCAAATTCTTCGTTCAGACTGTATGTCC